AGTATTGGCGGCGAGCGGTTGCTCGTGAGGCGGTAGGCATTGGTAAGAAGGGGTTAAGAGGATGTGTGGGGGGGGAGGAGCGCCATCACCTCCCCCCAGTGAACGAAGGGTGGTCCGTTAAAGGACTCCGGGGGGCGTGGCCCTGTCCGAAGCCTATGGAGGTGAGGGCCAAAGGCACGCCCCAGAGCGGTGACCCGGGGAGCTCCTAGTCGACGTGCCTCGGCAGGAGACTCCCCGATATAGTGTTAACCCTTCCCCGTGTCTCCAGCAAATGGGCTGGAGCCGGATAGTCGATAGGACCAATGCCTAAGCCAATGCCTCTCATTCCTGAACTCAATAAAGTTGTGGCCTAATTCGCCCAATTAACCTTAAATTATGGTGTCTGGTGTCTTTATTTATCCTGGCGGGGGCGGGAACTCGCCACGCAAAGCCACTTCCGGCTTGCCCAGGAGGTGGGGTTGCGGGCTTCACGCCCACCCCACGTGAGCGGGGGCTGGTTTCAGCCCCCGCGAGAACAGGGGAATCCCGGCCGGGTGTGCCCCCCCAGCCAGCCAATCGGCTGGCTGGGGGGGGCGTGGCCTGGGCTATTTAGGGCCGGCGCAGAGGGGGCTCGCCCTCTCTCTGCCGGCTAGCCCTCACGTTTTTCCCACCCTCCCTCCCTCTAGGTAGGTTTTAGGCAGGTTTCTGACTTTGCTATGGACTTCGGTCTGTCGCCGCAAGGGGCATGGTAGGAATTTTTCCCAATTGGCAATTTACAGCCTTTTGGTTTTTCGCCTACCTCGTAGCAACTCGTCACAACTCTTCGGCATTGGCGGTAGGCATTGGTAAGGCGGTAGGCATTGGTAAGAAGGGGTTAAGAGGATGTGGGGGGGAGCGCCATCACCTCCCCCCAGTGAACGAAGGGTGGTCCGTTAAAGGACTCCGGGGGGCGTGGCCCTGTCCGAAGCCTATGGAGGTGTGGGCCAAAGGCACGCCCCAGAGCGGTGACCCGGGGAGCTCCTAGTCGACGTGCCTCGGCAGGAGACTCCCGATATAGTGTTAACCCTTCCCCGTGTCTCCAGCAAATGGGCTGGAGCCGGATAGTCGATAGGACCAATGCCTAAGCCAATGCCTCTCATTCCTGAACTCAATAAAGTTGTGGCCTAATTCGCCCAATTAACCTTAAATTATGGTGTCTGGTGTCTTTATTTATCCTGGTGGGGGGCGGGAACTCGCCACGCAATAATGCAGCAGTATGATTGGTTGGCAGGAACCACCCAATCATTCTCCAGATAGAAGCGAATCCACAACCTGATTGGGTTACAGTAGAATTCCGGAATTAGCCAATCATGTGCAGCCCATTGTGTAAATAATGTATATAAAGCAGATACTTTGAGGGGACTTTCATTCATTCCTCCTCACCACTATGAGCTGAATAAAGAGCATGAAATCACTTTGTGAGTATATTTCAAATTGGTTTCAGGTTCTTTAGGTTTGCATGCATATTACCCCAAAAAACACAAAGTGAAGTGAAAGAATACCAATCAAAGCAAAACAGGGTTTGTTTGGTTTCATATACATAGAAAGAAGACGAATGTTTCTTTCACTTTGTTTCATTTTTTGGGGGTGTGCTTGCATAGAAAGAAGACGAATATGAGCGAGAGAGATAAAAAGATAGAAGTAAGCGAGGGAGGGAAGGAGAAAGCGAAGGAAGGAAGAGAGAGAGGGAGAGAAAAGGGAGGGAGGGAGAGAAGGAAAGAGAAGGGAGAGAGAGAAGGAGGAGAGAGAGAGAGAGAGGAGAGAGACAGAGAAGGAAGGAGAAAGACAGAGAGAGAGAAGGAGAGAGAGAGAGGGAGAATAAAGGGAAAGAGAGAGAAGGGGAGAGCTCAGAAGGAAGGGAAAGAGAGAAGAAAGGAAGGGAGAGAGAAAGCGAAGGAAGAGAGAAAGAGAGATGGAGAATGAGAGAGAGAAGGAGAGAGATAGAGAGTAGGAAGGGAGAGATAGAGAGAGCGTGAAGGACGGCAGAGAGAGAGAAGGAAAGGAGCGAGGGAGAGAGAGAAGGGAGGGAGAGGGAGAAAGAGAGAAAGAGACATATGAAAGGGAGAGAGAGACTGAAGGAAGAGCGGGAGAGAGAGAAGGAAGGAGAGAGAGAAAGAAGGGAGAAAGAGAGAGAGAGAAAGAAGGATGAGAGAGAGAGAGATAGAAGGAGAGAAAGAGAAAGAGAAGGGGAGAGAGAGAAGGAAGAGAGGGAGAGAGAGAAAGAGAAGGAATGGAGAGAAGGAAGGGAGAAAGACAGAGAGAGAGAGAGAGAGAGAGAGAAGGAAGCGGAGAGAGACAGAGAGAAGAAGGAGAGAGAGAGTAGGAAGGGAGAGATCGAGAGAATGAAGGATGGCAGAGAGATAAGGAAGGGAGAGATAGAGAGAGTGAAGGACTGCAGAGAGAGAGAAGGGACAGTGAGGGAGAGAAAGAGAGAGAGAGAGAGAGAGAGAGAGAGAGAGAGGGAGGGAGAGGGAGAGAGGGGAGAGAGATAAATGGAGAGAGAGAGAAGGAAGAGGGAGAGAGGGAGAGAGAGAAGGGAGGGAGAGGGAGAAAGAGAGAGGAGAGAGAGAGATAGAGGAAATGAGGGGAGAGCGAGAAAGAGAGTGAGTGAGAAGGAAGGAAGAGAAAGAGAGAGAGAAGGGAGGGAGGGAGAGAGGAAAGAGAGAGAAAATGAAGGGAGAGAGGTAGAGAGAGATAGAGAAGGGAGAGAGAGAGAAGGAATGAAGAGAGAGGAGGAAGGGAGAAAGAGAGAGAGAGGGAGAAGGACGAAAGAGAGAGAGAAGGAGAGAGAAGGAAGGGGCAGAGAGTGACGAGAGAAGGGAGGGGAGAGAGAGAGACGAGAAAGAGGGAGAAGGAATGGGGAGAGAGAAGGAAGGAGAGACAGAGAGAGAAGGAAGGAGAGAGAGAGAAGGAAGGGAAAGAGGCAGAGACAGAGAAGGAAAGAAGAGAGAGAAGGAAGGGAGACAGAGAGAGAGAGAGAAAGAAAGAAGGAAGCGGAGAGAGAGCAAGAGAAAGGAAGGAGAGAGAGGAGAGAAGGGAGAGAGAGAGAGAGGGCGGGAGAGGAAGAGAGAGAAAGAGAGAGAGAAAGAGGAAATTTGGGGGGAGAGAGAAAGAGAGAGGGAGAGAAGGAAGGGAGAGAGAGAGAGAGAGAGAGAGAGAGAGAGAGAGAGAGAGAGAGAGAGAGAGAGAGAGAGAGGGAGAGGGAGAGGGAGAGAGAGAGAGAATGAAAGGAGATAAAGAGCGAGAGAAGAAAGAGAGAGAGATAATGAGAGAAGGAAGGGAGAGGGAGAGAGAGAGGGAGAGGGAGAGAGAGAGAGAAGGAAGGGAGAGAGGGAGAGGGAGAAAGAGAAAGAGAGAGAGAGATAGAGAAGGGGAGAGAGACATTAGGAAGAACTTCCTGACAGTAAGAGCTGTTCGACAGTGGAATTTGCTGCCAAGGAGTGTGGTGGAGTCTCCTTCTTTGGAGGTCTTTAAGCAGAGGCTTGACAACCATATGTCAGGGGTGCTCTGATGGTGTTTCCTGCTTGGCAGGGGGTTGGACTCGATGGCCCTTGTGGTCTCTTCCAACTCTATGATTCTAAGGGAGGGGAGGGAGAGAAAAAGAGAGAGAAGGAATGGAGCGAGAGAAGGAAGGGAGAAAGAGAGAGGGAGAAAGATAATGAGGAGGGAGAAAGAGATAGAGATAGAAAAGATAGAGATAGAGATAGAAAAGGAGATAGAGATAGAAAAGGAGGGATAGAGATAGAAAAGGAGGGAAGAGAAGGAGAGAGAAGGGAGAGAGAGGAGAGCGACGGAAGGGAGACAGAGACAGAGAAAGAAGGAAGCGGGGAGAGAGAAGAAGGAGTGAGAGAGAGTAGGAAGGGAGAGATAGAGAGAAAGTGACAAACGGCAGAGAGAGAGAGAGAAGGGATGGGGCTGGAGAAAGATAGAGGAGAGAGAGAAAGAGGAAATTAGGGGAGAGCGAGAAATAGAGACAAATAGAGAGAGAGAGAGAATGAAGAGAGAAAGGGAGAGAGAAGGGAGGGAGAGGGAGAGAGAGAGAGGAGAGAGAGAGAGAGGAAATTAGGAGAGAGCGGGAAAGAGAGTGAGTGAGAAGGAAGGGGGAGAAAGACAGAAAGAGAGAGAAGGGAGGGAGGGAGAGAGAGAGAGGGAAGAGAGAGAGAGAAAATGAAGGGAGAGAAAGAGAGAGAGAAGGAAGGGAAGGAGAGAGAGAGAGAGAAGGAAGGGAGACAGAGAGATGGGGGAGAGGGAGAAAGAAGAAAGCGAAAAGAGTGAGATAAGGGACGGAAAGGGAGACAAAGAAAAAGAGAGACAGAGAGAGGGGGAGGGGGGAAGGAGGGAGGGAGGTGGAGAAAGAGAGAGGAGAGAGAGGAAATTAGGGGGAGAAAGAGAGAGAGAGTGAAGGAAGTTCTAAGTTTTTAAAAAGAATAGCAGCAATCTCTTCAGAACAAAAAGCCAAACTAATAAATCAGGTGATAACAGATGAATGTAAGATCCAAAAAGGAACAAGACAAGGATGCCCATTATCACCATTATTGTTTATTTTGGTCTTGGAAGTACTTGCCAAAAACATAAGAGCAGATATAGGTGTAAAAACTGGGAAAAGTGAATTCAAGTTAAAAGCGTATGCAGATGACTTAGTGATAACAGTGGAAGAACCTAAAACTTCACTCCCTAAAGTAATAGAAAAAATTCAGAAATTTGGGGAAGTGGCAGGATTTAAGCTAAATAGGAATAAAACTAAATTATTAGTTTAAAACATGAAGGAAGAAGAAAGAACCGAATTAGAACAAAACATTGAGATTGAAGTCCATAAAAAGGTTAAATATTTAGGGATTTGGTTAAGAAACCTATTTAAAAATAACTATGAAAAATTTGGCTTGAGGTAAAAAGAGATTTAGAAATATGGAGCAGAATGAATCTCTCAATGTTAGGAAAAATATCGGCAATTAAAATGAATGTGTTGCCAAAAATGCTATTTCTTTTTCTTTCTTTTTTTTAAATAATTTTTATTAAATTTCCAATTAACAAACCAATCACATTAATTCCAAATTACATTAATTCCAAATTATACCAATACATAATAAACTCCAAATATTTAGCTGAATTTTAAATTTTTGTTGGGGGTATCCATGCTTCGAGTTAGGAAAGGGTCCAATCATCTCATATTTCTGCTGCTTTGATGTTCACATGTCCCATCTTTCTGTCTCTTTGCTGTTATCCTTTACAAATCCCGTCTTCCAATCTTCTTTTTTTAAAAAAAAAATATTTATTACTTTTCCAACAATTTAAACACTACAAAAACAATACAATACAATACAAAAACACTACATAACACTAACACATTAAACTAACAAAACAAAACAAAAACAGTTAAACACATCAAACAATTTCAATATCTTATCTTTCATTCACTTATTTCCACAACCTCCTCACACCTCCCTTTTTGTATTCCACTTCTGTTAATTGTTTCAGCAATTCCTTTCCATCTTCCTCTGTTTTCTATCCTATAATTATCTTAACACATTCTAACCTTATTTTTCCCTTTAATTCTCTATTAATCTATTTATACTTAATTCCTTATAACATTTCTACTAAAGCCATATAACTTCATTCCAACATTTTTCTAACATTCATTAATTTTACAGTATTTCTGTAAATAGTCTTTAAACTTTTTCCAGTCTTCTTCCACCGACTCTTCTCCCTGGTCTCGGATTCTGCCAGTCATTTCCGCCAGTTCCATATAGTCCATCAACTTCATCTGCCATTCTTCCTGGGTGGGTAAATCTTGTGTCTTCCAATACTTCGCGATGAGTATTCTTGCTGCTGTTGTTGCATACATAAAAAAAGTTCTATCCTTCTTTGGCACCAATTGGCCGACCATGCCCAGGAGAAAGGCCTCTGCTTTCTTCAGGAAGGTATATTTGAATACCTTTTTCATTTCGTTATAAATCATCTCCCAGAATGTCTTAATCCTTGGGCATGTCCACCAAAGGTGAAAGAATGTACCTTCAGTCTCATTACATTTCCAACATTTATTGTCGGGCAAATGGTAAATTTTTGCAAGCTTGACTGGTGTCATGTACCACCTATAAATCATTTTCATTAAATTTTCTCTTAGGGCATTACATGCCGTGAATTTCATACCTGTGGTCCATAACTGTTCCCAGTCGGCCATCATTATGTTATGTCCAACATCTTGTGCCCATTTAATCATAGCTGATTCACCATTTCATCCTGAGTGTTCCATTTCAACAGCAAGTTATACATTCTTGACAAATTCTTAATTTTTGGATCTAACAATTCTGTTTCCAATTTTGATTTTTCCACCTGGAAACCAACTTTTTTGTCCAAATTGTATGCCTCCATTATTTGGTAATAATGGAGCCAATCTCGCACTTTATTTTTCTATTTTTCAAAGCTCTGCAATTTTATTCTGTCTCCATCTTGATCCAGAATTTCCCAATATTTCGGCCATTTGGCCTCCATATTGAGTTTTTCTGTGCCTTCGCTTCCATTGGTGACAACCATCTTGGGGTTTTCTTTTCTAACATATCCTTATATCTTATCCAAACATTAAACAATGCTTTTCTAACAATATGATTTTTAAACGCTTTATGTGCTTTTACCTTATCGTACCACAAATATGCATGCCAGCCAAATACATTATTGAAACCTTCTAAATCCAACACGTCAGTGTTTTCAAGAAGCAGCCATTCTCTCAGCCAGCAAAAAGCAGCTGATTCATAATAAAGTTTAAGATCTGGCAGGGCAAATCCAACTCTTTCTTTGGCATCAGTTAATATCTTAAATTTTATTCGAGGCTTCTTGCCCTGCCAAACAAATCTGGAAATATCTTTCTGCCACATCTTGAAACAATCCATCTTATCCAAAATTTGCAATGTTTGAAACAAAAACAACATCCTTGGCAACACATTCATTTTTATCACAGCAATTCGGCCTAACAATGATAACTTCAAATTTGTCCATATTTCTAAATCCTTTTTCACTTCAATCCAACATTTTTCATAATTATCCTTAAATAAATTCACATTTTTGACAGTCATGTTAACCCCTAAATATTTCATTTTCTTAACCAATGTTAGTCCTGTCTCCTCCTGAAACTTCTCTCTCTCATTCACAGTTAAGTTTTTCTCTAAAACCTTAGTTTTCATCTTGTTCAACTTAAAACCTGCTACCTGTCCGAATTCTTGAATCAGTTCCAATACCCTTTTGGTACTAGATTCTGGCTCCTGTAAAGTCAATACTAAGTCATCAGCAAATGCTTTCAATTTGTACTGTTTAGCTCCCACTTGTATACCTTTAACCTCTTGGTCCTTTCTAATCATATTTAACAAAACCTCAAGGACCGATATAAAAAGCAATGGAGAAATTGGGCAACCTTGTCGTGTCCCTTTCTCAATCTTAAACTCTTCTGTCACTACATTGTTCACAATTAATTTTGCCTTTTGTTCTGAATAAATTGCACCTATACCATTTTCAAAACCTTGACCTACCCCCATTCCCTGTAGATTCTTCTTCATAAAACTCCAAGAAATGTTGTCAAAGGCTTTCTCTGCATCCACAAATATCAAGACTGCCTTAGTATTAATATTCACTTGTAATTTTTCTAGAATATTAATTATATTTCTCATGTTGTCAGACAAATGTCTGCCCGGGAGGAAGCCCGCTTGGTCTTTATGAATTTCTTCTACTAATACCTTTTTTAATCTTTTAGCCAAAATATCTGCAAAAATTTTGTAATCCACATTAAGCAGCGATATAGGGCGGTAGTTCTTGAGCTGTGTCTTTTCAGTCTCTGTTTTCGGTATAAGTGTAATGTAAGCTTCCTTCCACGACTCTGGTGCCTTTCTCCCTTCCAATATTTCATTGCAGACTTCCTTCAATGGTTGTATTAACCATTCTTTCAAAGATCTGTAATATCTTGAAGTCAAACCAACTGGTCCTGGAGATTCACCTAATTGCATGTTCTGGATGGCCCCTTCCACCTCCTGATCCGTTATTTTGTAATTCAACATTAGCTGTTTTTCCTGAGAGATTTTGTGTAGTCCATTTATTTTCAAAAATCGATCAATGTCCATTTCTTTCTGCTTCTCCTGTGTATAAAGTTGTTTGAAATACCTCTGAAAACACTTCCTGATCTCCACTGGATTCTGTATATTCTTTCCTTCCACTTCCAAATTCGTAATAGTATTGAGTTTTTGTCTTTTTTTCATTTGCCAGGCCAACAATTTTCCACACTTATTTGCCGATTCAAATGTCTTTTGCCTCATCTGTTTAATCTTCCATTCTATTTCCTGATTCATCAGCTTCGTATATTGTACTTGGTATAACTTTATCTCTTTCAGGATCTCCTGTGACTTTGGTTTTGCTCTCAATTTCTTCTCTCCTTCCTTTATTTTCCCCAGGATTTTATCCTTTTTTTCATTCTGAGTTCTCTTCTTAATTGCATTCTGTTGTATTAGGAATCCTCTCATAACCCAAATTGTATTAGGAATCCTCTCATAACCCAAATTACTCTTTTTTCCACTGTAGTATTCATGTTTATCTCGAAATAATCTCTTAGAGTTTTTTGGGCCTTCTTGGTCACCTCTTCGTTCCTGAACAAAGTGTCGTTCATCCTCCATCTAAAGGAACCAATTGGCGTCAATTTCATTTCCATCTTCACAGCATTATGGTCGGAACAAGTTTTGGGGCAAATCTCCACTTTACTGATCTTCAGAGCCAATCTCCTAGTTACCCAGATTTGGTCAATTCTTGTCCATGTCATTTCCCTCTCTTCCCAGAGGGTTCTTCATTCTCCAAATGTCAACTAAGTCCATATTTTCAGTCATGTCAAAAAAGGTTTTTGGTAGTCTACCATCTTTGGTGACTACCTGTCTCTGTGCCTTGTCCATATTTGTAGACACCACTCCATTCATATCTCCCATCAAGATCATATTATAGTCCATATAATCCATCAGAGTCTCGTGTAGCTTCTTAAAAGAACTCCGATTTTCCTTCATTTGGTGCATAAATACCTACAATCAGAAATTTCTCTCCTTGTGATTGAATTTCAATTGCAACAAATCTTCCTTGGTCATCTTTGAATATGAATTTCGGTGATAGGCTCTCCTTTGCATAAAGGACCACTCCTCTTTTTTTAACTTTATCTGATGAGATAAATTCTTGGCCCAGTCTTTTATTACTCAATATCTTCCTGTGTAGCCTTATCACATGTGTTTCTTGTAAACAAATCAAGTCCAAATGTTCTTTTTTTCAATAAATGAAAGACTCTCCGCCTTTTTTTCTGGGGAATTTAATCCATTCACATTCCAGCTCAAAACCTGCAACGCCATCATGTAATTACACTGATATTCCTCCAACTGCACCCAATGCTTGCTCTTCTTCTGTTGGTGGTAGTGGTGACACGTTCACTGGGAGATCCAATCCAAAGGATAATGCTGATATATCCAATATTCCCCTGTTTGGTGATCTTCGATGCTTTTTGCTCTAGTCCTCTATCTGATGATCTTCTGTCCGATGCTCCTGGCTCTTTTCCAAGTCCCTTCTGCAGATCTTCTTCGTATTTATGCAAAAACTTTATCTTCTACTGATCTTATTTTTATTTTCCTTCCTTTGAAACTGAAGGATAGACCTTGGGGGAATTCCCACCTAAAGATGATTTTGTTCCTTCTCAGCAGGGCAACAATATCTCCGTAGTTAGGCCTAAGATCCAAAAGATATTTCGGGACGTCTTTAAAAATTTCCACTCTTGACTGTTGTACTTCTAGGTTCTTCTGGTAATGCCAACCCAAGATTCTATCTCTCTCTTCTTTAGTTCAAAGGGTGATCAAGCAGTCTCTTATTCTATTCTTCTCTTTTTTTCCCTCCTCTTCCAAGTCTGAAGGCCCTCACAATTCTAAACTCTTCTTGACCCAAGTCCAAGTCCCAAAAGTCTGCAAATTCCTGTGTGAGAAAGTCTGTCAAACTTTCCTTCTCCAATTCAGGTAGGGCTCTGATCCTCAGATTTGTCTGTTTTTCTTTAAGTTCAATCATAGCAAGCGTCAACTTATGTTCATCAAGTTGCCTCTGTAGGGCTGGGACTCTCGCTCTCTCCAGTTGTGTTACTTTACATTCAGCAGCAACGGCTTTCTCCCTGGCTTCCTCCGCAGTCTGCCATATCAAAGTAGATTCCTGTATCAATTTCTGGATGGTTTCTGTATTGGTATTCACCTTTTGTCCCAGATTATTTATACTTTCTGTATTTAGGTCGATTTTAATGGTTGCAACATCCACTTTCGCATTTGTCGCATCTGCTTTCTTGTTAAGCTGTTCCAGTGAATCATTTATCTTATTTAATGCAACCGCTAAGGCCTCTTCTGTCGACATTCCTCTTGGTTTCAAATATACTGGTACAGAAGCAGCAGAAGAAGAAGCAGGGGGGCCTGATGTTGAGCCTCTCCTGGGTTGGTGCCAAGTCCTCCCAGACCTTAATGTTTTTTCAGCAGTTGACTGGTCTGTTTTTTCCTTCCCATTTGCCATAACACTTAAAAGATTCAAGGTCAGTCCCAGAGTCTCACAGTTTATCTTGCAGCTGGAAATTCCCCCAACCCAGCTCTTGTAAACCAACCAGTTTCAAAGGCTTCCACTAGGGGGAAACAGTTTCTATTTATATTAGTCAGTAATGTCCTCTTTTAAACACAGTTCAAACAATCCAAAGTTAGTTTCAGTTTTTCAGTTACTTTTACTCCTTTTTAGAAGCAGCCAGAGACAGTAGAAACAATGTATTTCTCTTATTTAGCTAGCTGTCAATGAACGTTCTAAACGCTGTCAATGAACATTCCAAAAGACGTCAGTCCTGCTAGCAGCCCGTTTCCAGGGTCAGAGCAGCGGTATTTTAGCTCTCTTCGCTCTCTCCTGCAGGCATACTCAGTCCACAACTCCCCCCCCTTCTCCTGCCTCCAAGGGGGGGGTTAATGTTCTTTACCGATGGAAATTTAGTCTTTTACAAAAGGCTTTCCAAGGCTTCAGCTTGCAGCCTCATTGCTTCAGTCTATTTTCAAAAGGGGAAGGCGGACTTCCTGTATTGAGCCTCCCCGTTACAATACCAAATTAAACTTTTAAAAATCCAATTCTCCCGCTTCAGCTCTACTCGCAGGTAATTACTTTAAAGTCAAATTGTCCACAGGAAAAAGTCAGCGCTCTCTGGCAACAGCTATGCGGCTTCGCTCCGTGGAAGAAGCAGATGATTCAAAGCACCGCACCGCTCACCCCACGTCGCCCCCGAAGCTGGGTTTCCCCGCGAGTAGGGGAGGCGCGAGTAGGGGAGGCGCAAAGGGTGCCCGCCGAATCCCACGCTCACAGGCTTCTCCCGCCTGTGATTTTTTGTGGGTCTCCGCCTTCGCCGTGGCGGCCAGACCCAGATTCCCACGGGGCAAATTCCTCCCGATCAGAGGAATTCCGCCATTACCCGAGGCACCAGCCCGGAAGTCTCCGTCTTCCAATCTTCTTGTTGTTATTATTTTTCTTCTTAATAACCTCTGAGTTATCTCCACAAGCAAGTTGAAGCAAACATTGTTATAGTCCTGTGTGGATTTTCACGCTGATCCAAAAGTCTTTCGAACTCGGGGGGTGATTTATTGGCAACTGCGGACGAGGCAGCGTTTTCCCATCCCCTGGGAAAATGGGGAGGCTAATTTACTCCCATCATTAGCCTCTTAATTACCTCGTGTGAGCCGGAGAGATGGTATTGTCGGCCATCTTCCAAAGTGCCCCTAGCGGCCCCCCAAAAAATGCTATTTCTTTTTCAACCCATACCAGTCATCCCGAAAGATGAATGTTTTAAAAAATGGCAGAAGGAGATTTCAAAATCTATCGGGGGGGGGCAAAAGGCCAAGGATAAAACATAAAATGTTCAGTTTCTGTTAATTGATTCTCATGGGAAACTTGCAGATTCTGGCTTCACACAATTAACTCAAGGCAGTGTCAATTTACTCTTGGCAGAAAGCCAAGGTCTGCTTGACCTAGAAACTACTTACTCTGATTGGTTAACGACCAGCACTCAACTCTGTTATCTAGGAATGCTAGCACAGTTTGGGGTGAGGTGTGTTAGGAGAAGGAGTTAGAAGTGCTGTGTATGGTTATGAGAGAGAGAGAGAAAGAAAGGATTTATTTGCTTTGTTTTGTATGCAGAAACTCTGCTGGTTTTATTTTTTATTATGTCCTTTTAATAAATCCTGTAAATAGTTATTCTGAGTCTAGCTGACTAGTCATTACCTCCGCAACTAGCTTCCTCGCTGTGCAGGAAAACTCTGCTACGTTTGGGCTAAAGCCAATAGGGCTATGCCTGACACTTCAAAGTTCCATGAGGTTATGGGCCCAGGCTGCCAGCCTGAGTTGTGGTGGTGTCAGCATCAACGGTGTTGGTTCCAGTAGTTCCAGAAGTTGTTGTTCCTGTTGGTGCAGCAGATGGACACTGGCTGGTTCCTGACTGTGGTGAGCTGGTGACGCAGTGGACACAAGGACAACAACTGCAGCGTGTGAGTGCTGGGTGCTGTGGTTCCTGTTTTCTCTCTCGGTGGTCGTGAGTAGCTGGTTCCGGGTTCCAGGGACATCGCTCTCAAGATGGCCTCACAACCAGTTCAGATGGCTTTTGAGCGTCTGAATGACTCCAATTACTTGCTGTGGTCGGAACGCATGCAGGCAGTGCTGCAGAGGGATCGTCTCTGGCAAGTGGTGAGTAAGTTTCCTACGAAGCCTGATGATGAAGACCTCGATAAAGACCAAAGAGCAAGGGCCACAATTGTCTTGGGGCTGGAAGATTCCCAGTTGCCGTATGTGAGGGGAATCAAGACAGCTAGAGGTGTGTGGCAAGCACTTAAAGAACTCCATGTGCGTGAGACAGCGGTTTCCAAGCTGTTCATTCGCAAGGCATTGTACAAGGCAATGTTACAGCCTGGGGTTACAATGCAGGAACACCTACACAGTTTACAGTTAAAGTTCGCTGCGCTACAGGAAAGAGACTGTGCGTTAGACCAGCAGGAGAAGGTGGCTATTATTTTGAGTTCTCTCCCGGAAAGCTGGGATAATTTAGTTTTGTCTCTAGAAGGCATACAGGAGCGTGATTTATCAGTCAGTTACGTTACTGGGCGTTTGATTGAAGAATGGCAGAAGAGGCAAGAAAGGTCGTTGGCTGCAGAGGCTTCTACAGGTGGACGGTTTGGAAGGAGTTCTCATGCCGTGCCAGAGGTGAAGCAAAAGCAGCGTACTGGTGAGGAGTCAGCGTTTGCTGTTAGGCGTTGTTTCCGATGTGGGTCTTCAGCGCATCTAAAACGACAATGTCCGGAGTTGGTCAAGTCTCAGTTGCCGGTGCAGGAGCAGAGACGAGATCAGCAGCAGCAGCAGCGTAAAGAGACATTCTTCAAACAAAAAACAGTCGGCTCAGCTGGTGACCGCCGAGGTCAAGATTGCTGATGAGAAACAAGCTGTCTGGGTGGTCGATTCTGGAGCGTCTCGGCACATCATAAATTCAGATGAATTGTTTGTTTCCAAGAACTCAGCACAGCGCAGCCAGGTGGCTCTAGCAGACGGAAGTACTTCCGAAGTGATTTCGGGGGGTGCAGTTTTTGTTCCTTGTCTTCGTGAATGCCTGCAAAATGTACTTTGTGTGCCGTCATTAAGGAGCAATCTGATGTCTGTAGATTGTTTGCTAAAAGCTGGGTTTAAAGTGTATTTTGAAGGAGACAGTTGCATTATTAAGAAGGCTGGTGAGATTTTAGGCACTGCTAAGTCAGAGGGAGGCTTGTTTTGGCTTAAAGCAGGATCTCAAGTTGCAGCAGTAGTCAGTAAATCTCAGCCTGCAGTGAATAACAAAGCTATACATGACAACTGTGTGCACTTATTGCATAGGAAAATGGGGCATGCTTGCTGGAAGAGTGTACTAAAAATGTCTGAATTGGCTGATGGGGGTAATTTAAAGAGTTGTAACAAGTACCTTGATTGTAATGTTTGTAAAAGGTTAAAACCCACAGAGTCTCTTACCCCAGAAGTGACAGAGTTAGTGAGTCACCGCTACAGCTGGTTCACATGGACGTAATTGGTCCATTTGCTGTAAGCAGGGGTAGCGCGCGTTTTTCACTAACAATTGTGGATGACGCCACGCGTTACTCTTGGGTTTTTCCCATGAAAAATAAGGGTGACGTATTCACTAAGTTTAAAGGCTGGGTGGCATCTGTGGAAAGATTTCTGTCCATTAAACTCAGAAGGATTCAGACGGACAGAGGTGGCGAATTTATGTCAAATGCCTTTAGAGATTGGTTACAAAAGCGTGGCATTGGGCATAGGAAAACGAACGTTTTTTCCCCAGAGGAGAATGGCGTTGCAGAGCGAAAAAACAGATCTTTACAAGATATGATGTTTGCCATGCTTGATGATGCTGATTTGCCCATGTCTTATTGGGGGGAGAGTATGCTCACCGCGTGTTATCTCCAAAATAGGCTCTTTCATCAAACAATAGGTACAACCCCGTACTTTAAATTGTTTCAGAAAAAACCTAAAATTGACCATTTGCATGTGTTTGGATCAAAAGCCTGGGTATTAATTCCGAAACAAATGAGAAAGAAGGGAGATCCTAAGACCAAACAGTTAGTGTTTGTGGGTTACCAGGAGCTGGGAAAAGGTTTCCGCTTTGCTGAAGGGACAAATGGCATTGTGATCTCCAGGAATGCCAGTTTTTGTGAACATAGTGGCTGGGAGAGACTACATGCCAATACTGAGGTTTGGTTTGAACCTTCCCAGGAGCTCCATGACTCTGAAGGTAGACACAGAGAATCAGAGTCTGAGGGGGAGGAAAGTTCAGATAAGAGCTCTCAAGAAAGTGGAGTTAGCCAGAGACCAGTTGCTAAGCAACAAAAGAGAGGTCGTAGTTCTGAGGAGGAAAGTGGGTCAGAAGAAAAATTTTCTCCCAGAAGATCTAAAAGACAAAACAAAGGAGTGCCTCCGGTGCGTTTTTCTCCAGATACTGCAAATGTGTTTAGTGTAATTGCAGAACCCAAGAGTTTTCAGGAGGTGTTAAAGTTACCAAAAGAGGAGGCAGAGCTCTGGAAACAGGCAATGGAGGAAGAGATGTCCTCTCTGAATGAGCACAAGGTTTTTACACCAGTAGCAGCGCCTGAGGGGCAAAGATTGTAGGCTGCAGGTGGGTGTACAAACTTAAACCTCTGGTGACAGGAAAGTACAAATACAAAGCTCGTTTAGTGGCTCAAGGATATTCTCAGAGGCCTGGAAAAGATTATGATGAAACTTTTTCCCCTACTGCTAAGGGGGACAGTGTAAGGCTGATTTTAACGCTTGGAGCAAAGAGAAAACTCCTGTTAAACCATTTTGATATCCAGACTGCATATTTACATGCATCAATATCAGAAGACCTGTATCTAGCCGAACCGCCTGGTTATGAGACAGGTTCCAATAGAGTGTTAAAATTAAACAAAGCTCTATATGGTCTCAAACAGGCTGCAAGATCTTGGAACAAGTGTTTCCATGAGGCCTTAGTGTCATTTGGTTTCAAGCAGAGTACAGCTGACAATTGTGTTTATGTACGTGGTACAGGCAGTGATCAAGAGTTTTGTCTGATTTATGTAGATGATGTATTGTATGCCTGTAAAACAGATAAACAAACTAAAAGGTTTGCCAAGCAATTGTCCAGTAAGTTCAAAGTGAAAGACTTAGGCCCGGTTAGGACATATCTAGGGTTGGAAGTGTGCTGGGCCCAAGATGGCAGCTGCCTAATTAGTCAGCAGAACAAAGTTAAACAACTACTGACTACATACAGGATGCAGGATTGCAAAGGGGCAGCGGTGCCTATGGATCCAGGTTTCATAAAAACACTTCATATAGATGAGAGTCCTGAATTTGAACATCCTGATGTATATCACTCTGTAATTGGAAGTTTATTGTATCTAGCACAGTGGTCCAGACCTGATATTAGCTACGCAGTAGGCATATTAAGTAGATTGGTCTCAAAACCCACACTAAATGCCTGGAAAGGAGTAAAACAAGTTCTGAGATACCTCAAACAGACAATTGGCTATATGTTACAATTAAATTCTTCCGAGGACGAAATGTTGAGTTGCTACTGTGATAGTGACTGGGGAAATTTGCCAGATAGAAAATCTGTCACAGGACTAGTCATAATGGTCGGTGGAGCTTTAATCAGCTGGCGGTCACGCAAGCAAGACGTTGTAAGTGTGTCATCAACGGAATCAGAGTACGCCGCACTGAGTGAATTGTGCAACGAGGTGATTTATTTCAAGCATTTGTTAGCAGATTTAAATGTAAATTGTGGAGAACCAGTACGAGTTTACATTGATAATCAAGCTTGTATAACCTTAAGTAAAACAGAGGGTTTCAAATCACGTTCCAAACATATCTCTGTAAAATACCAAAATGTACGTTGCTGTGTACAAGACAATATAATCACATGTACTTATGTATCAAGTGAAGAAAATGTAGCAGATGTATTAACTAAACCATTGGCAAAGATAAAGAACAAGCAAATGTGCAAGGATTTAGGTTTGCTGGAAAAATAATCTCCTACATAGGTGTTTTTTGATGTTAATTGTCCAGCAGAATCTGTGAGGGGGTGTTCAGTTTCTGTTAATTGATTCTCATGGGAAACTTGCAGATTCTGGCTTCACACAATTAACTCAAGGCAGTGTCAATTTACTCTTGGCAGAAAGCCAAGGTCTGCTTGACCTAGAAACTACTTACTCTGATTGGTTAACGACCAGCACTCAACTCTGTTATCTAGGAATGCTAGCACAGTTTGGGGTGAGGTGTGTTAGGAGAAGGAGTTAGAAGTGCTGTGTATGGTTATGAGAGAGAGAGAGAAAGAAAGGATTTATTTGCTTTGTTTTGTATGCAGAAACTCTGCTGGTTTTTTTTTTTCTTTTAATAAATCCTGTAAATAGTTATTCTGAGTCTAGCTGACTAGTCATTACCTCCGCAACTAGCTTCCTCGCTGTGCAGGAAAACTCTGCTACGTTTGGGCTAAAGCCAATAGGGCTATGCCTGACACTTCAAAGTTCCATGATAAAATACTTACAGACATAAAAGATAGAGGCGGGTTTGCCCTCCCAGACCTTAAATTGTATTATGAATCTGTTTGTTTGGTATGGATCAGGGACTGGATGAGATTGGATTAAGCAAGAGGCATTAGAACTGGAAGGACATGACAACAGATTCGGCTGGCACACATACTTATGGTACGGGAAAGGGAAGGTTCATAGAAGTTTTTACAACCATATAATCAGGAAATCACTAATGAGAGTATGGGAGAGATACAAAGACTTATTGAAACAAAAGACTTTCACCACATGAAGCATTACTGCTCAAACCACTTGGAAAGAAAGGAAAATGACTCACATATGTTGATTTATTAAAGGAACATGATGGAAAATGGAAATTAAGAGATTATGATGAGATCAAAGACCACTTTCAGAGTTGGTTGCATTATCGACAACTATATGAAACACATAAAGAAGACAGCAAGAAAGGATTTAGTTATACAAGATCTAGGTTTCAAACGGAAGTGATTGAAGGGAAAGTGAAATTACTGAAGGCCGTATACAGCATACTATTAGAATGGGAGACGAAAGATGAAGAGGTAAAATCAGTTATGATTAAATGGGCCCAAGATGTAGGTCACAACATTATGATGGAAGACTGGGAAAAATTATGGAAAACTGATTTAAAATTTACAGATTGTTCCCTACTGAAGGAGAATTACATGAAGATGATGTACAGATGGTATATAACACCAGTGCAGTTAGGGGAAATGTACAAAACTAGTTCAAATCTACATTGGAAGTGTAAAGAAAAGGAGAGGACATTTTATCATATGTGGTGGGATTGTAAGGTAATTAAAAAAATTTGGGAAATGATATATAACGAATTGAAGAAAATGTTCCATTTAACATTTGTTTAAAAACCTGAAGCATTTTTATTAGGGATTGTAGGGAAAGATCTGCCAAAAAAGCTGAAAAACATCTTCATGTATGCGACAACGGCCGCGAGAGTTTTAATAGCACAAGGATGGAAGACTGAAGAAACCCCAACTAAAGAATCATGGCAAAAAAATTGATGGACTATGCAGAACTGGCAAAACTGACATACAAGCTACGGCACAAGGATAACTGTGACTTTAAAGATGAATGGAAACCCTTTACAAAGTATTTGAAGACACAACAAAGCGAACTGGACTCCTTGGCTGGTTGAATAAACATTCACAAACTTCTTATTGATAATTATTACTTAAACAGTTTGAGGATAAATACAACTGTGTAACATGCAAAAAACAACATTTTTAGAGAAATCAAAGACTGGAACTGAGGGGAGTCGAAGGGTGGGGGTGGGTGGGTCCTGTGGGGGGAGGGGGGGAGGGAGGGAGGGAGGAAAAAAGGGGGAAATAAGGATGATATGTTTCTGGATAATACGTTTTGTTTTAATTTTGAATAAAAAAGTAATTTTTAAAAAAAGAAAGGGGACGCGGGAGGCGCTGTGGGTTAAACCACAGAGCCTAGGGCTTGCCGATCAGAAGGTTGGGGGGTTCGAATCCCCGCGATGGGGTGAGCTCCGGTTGCATGGTCCCAGCTCCTGCCAACCTAGCAGTTCGAAAGCACATCAAAGTGCAAGTAGATAAAAACGTTTTTTTGTCAGCTTGCGGAGAAAGAAGATGAATAAGCTTTGTTTGGGCGTATTTATCTTTTTTTCTATTTTGTGGGTGTGGATGCATAGTCAACCAAAAGTCACAAACGAAGTCATGTAATGTCAAATAAAGCAAAATAGAATTCTTTTAGTTCAATATGGATAAAAAGAAGACGAATAAGCTTTTATTGGATATTTTCACCAGGTTTCAGGTTCTTTGTGCACCCAAAAATCACAAAGTGAAGTGAAATAATCCGAAACACAGGAAAAATGGTTGTTTTTGCTGCCATATGCATAGAAAGAAGACGAATAAGCTTTGATTGGGTTAGGATTAGGATTAGGGTTAGGGTTAGGGTTAGGGTTAGGGTTTAGGGTTAGGGTTAGGGTTTAGGGGTTGGGGTTGGGGTTAGGGATTATTTAAAAAAATTATTTTTCCGCAAGTTAAGACGTCGAGGGTTTTTCCGATGATAAAAACCCTGTTGTTTCCACCGAAAAACCTTTCAGGGGAGCATTTGCAACAGTTTGGCAGCATTTTTGAGTGAAATGCAGAACGTCAGATTTTGGGTGAAATTGTGACCAGCAGAAGCACAGCAGCTTAGGTCAGCTCCTTCTCACACGGAGCCAGGCACCAATGAGGGAGCCTGCTGTGGGGTTACCTGTTTGTGCCCCCTGACACAATTGTGCCCAGGGCCCACGGGGCCACATTTGTGCCCCCAACAGCCCACACATGCTACACTTCTGGGTGGGGACAAAACCAGAATTACTGTAGTTGGCTCCATCCATGGGCATAGCCAGGATTTTTGTTAGTGGGGGCAGGCCTTTTGTTGGTGGGTGCAGAACGTCAGTTAGCTATGTATTTTTATTTATTTTTATTTATTTGGCCCCCCCTTGGCTACACCCATGGTTCCATCTATCATAACATTTTGGAAATGCCCTGACCCACCCACCCCAACACTGATGTTGATTTTCTGAGATATCAGGCGCTCAAGCACAAGTCATACATAAAGAATCGCTGCTGTTTCTTTTTGTGTAGCCTGTTTAGACTGGAAATTTGCCTCAGTTTTTTATTCTCTAAGGAAGGTTCTGTAAAGTGCAGGATAATGTAGTAGCTCACAGCATGACAGGATGATCCCAAGAAGCTCAGTTAGTTGGGGACATGGGCATAGCCAGGGGGTGAAGCAGCCACCCCTAAATCAAGTAAATAAACAAAAATACAGAGAGTCTGATATTCCAGATGTAATCACACTTCTTCCTTAGAGCAGCCTCCTATTCATTTATTTCTTGTTGAAAGATTGTTGAAAGAAGTGTTTTGCAGAAACTAGCAACAACTTTATATATCAAGAAGACACATGTAGTTCATAGTAACTGTCTTTCAGGGCAGTTTGTCTAGTAACAAAAGCAACTGTTGCTATGAACACTGACTAGTCACTAGAATAATAAGATGAAAGCTGGAGGTGGGGTTCGGGGTGGGGTTAGTCTTTCTTTAAACAAACATGTAAGTATGGATGCCAAGAAGAAGAAGAAGTAAGACAAGCGTTTCTGTGGGGGAGGGAGTTTATTGACTGCTCAGATATAAGACTCACAACATCATTTTATAACCAAAGAAAGTGCCTTTATGTGACCATTAAAACAAATCAACTGGAATTACCGGTATATTCACAGAAAGCCTTTAGCAGAATCATTTCCTGTCCTCGGAATCCAGCTGGAAGTGTTGGGTGAGCCGACTGCATAATCAAAAAGGCCAGTAAGTTACTGTGAGACATACAGAGGAAGCTGTGTTCCTTTTCAAATCTGTCTGTCAACAGTCACACACACCAAGCAAAAGCCACCCATAACAGACGTTTTCCTTGATAAATGGGAGAACTGTCTGATAATCAACAACCATATAATTTTATCCAGTAGTATTAGTTTGATCTGACAGAAACTGCACATTTCCCGAGAAGCACTGAAAGAATGCTTCATTTAACTACAAACCCCCAAATCTGGGATCCCATCAAAACTGATGTTTGGCAAAAGTTTTGCAGCAAAACCCCCACATTTTGTAACACCCCATAAACAGAGTAATTGATACATCAAACCGGGGTTCATAATTAATATCCAAAACCCAACATTGTCCGATTCACTCCAAACTGGTGCCAAAGTCTGGCAAAAGATTTGTAGCATTTTGCCAGACATTGTAGCATTTTTGTAGCATTTTGCCCGACAAACCAAGTAACTGACAGGGGTCATAAGGTCACCCCAAAACCCAACATCGTTCACTCCAAATCAAGGCCAAAGTCTGGCAAAATGGACTTCCGGGTTAGTGCGAACAGCTAATGGCGGATTCTCTCCGAGCTCCGGAGGGAATCGGCTCCGCTGGGGACGGGTCTTGCCGCGACGGCGACGCGGAGACCCTCAAAAACCGCAGGCGCGGATGCCTGCGGACCTGGTGACTCGGTGGGCACCTTAAGCGCCCCCGACCCACGAAGAGCCTTTTAAAGGCTACGGAGAGGGTACGGAAGGCGGCGTGGTGCTGGGAGTAGACCGCTACCCCAGCGGAGCGGAGCCGTGTGCCATGGCTGAAGAGCACTGACTTTTTTCCTTAAATTCGAACTCGAAAAGAAGCAACCCGTGAGTAGATTGGAATTCGGACTTTAAAATATCTATCTGTGAATTTGATACGACCGGGGATGTGTTAAAGGGAAGTCCGCACCCCCCCCTTCTGCAGACGATTTAAAGCAATAGCAGGAGAACTAAGTTGGAGAGTCTACCCCTTTGGGGTGAGTTAAAAAGACATTAACTTTCACGATTTGATAAAAGAAGTTTTGAGCTGGAGTGTAAGAGTGGAATTTTAGAAGTTTTCTCTTGTGGTGTGTAACCCCCCCCTTCCGGGCCCGGGAGCGTCCTGCCTTTGAGCCTGTTGAAGAGGAAAGGAGTTTGACAGCTGTTAAAGCTGTCAAACGGGCAATTTAAAGTAAAAAGCGTGTTATTTAAGATCTCCCTGGACTAAATGTGATACAATTGAATTAAAGTGGTTCGAAACAAAGAAACAAAGAACGAGGCAAAGGACTGTTGGGAAAAGATTACTAAGTAACCAGATTCCCTCTAGGGGGAATTCTGAGACATTACAATGGCTGCGGATGGAAATTTACTAGCTGAAATAGAAAGAATGTGTTACTTTGTGGGAACTTTACAAGAGCAGAGTCTGGCTATGAATAAACAACTTACGACCTTGACTTCTGGAATAAGCAGCTCTGCTGAATGTATTGAGGATCTGAATGAGAAAAATCTGCAGCTGAACCGGAACAGATATCTCAAGAATTGAAGGAGACTAAACAAGGAAAGGAGAAAGCACAGATGGAAAGTACCAACCAGAAGCCTACACATGTGGATTATAAACAAGAAGACCCTTGGATTACATGGATTACAAATCTGCAAAAGATGCGAAAGATGAAGGAGGAGGCCCCTGGAGTACTTGGAATTCAAGAACTTAAAAGAAAGAAGAAATATGATGGGGGCCTCCATTCTGAATATGAAGGACTGGTGGAACTTTTGCAGCAGTTGTCTCTAAGTTTTCTTGTGGGAAGAAAATCTGGCTTGACTGGGACAGAACTCCTTCGAGATCCGAAGACCAACATAAAGGACTACCAACAAAACCGGCGGAGAGGGACTGAAAGAGACTTGAAGGCCTCGGATGTGAGAAATCCAGGCTAAGAACTGTTATTGTAGAAATGTACTTGGGAAGGGACGAACCGGGGATGGGAGGGGGGGAAAATAGAATTTTAAAAACACTTACGATTTTTGGGTCTAGTCAATATGATTGATGCTTAATAAAAATGGGAAATCGATGGAAGGGAATCTGAGCCCAACTTAGGATAGAATTTAATCTTCTACAAAAGATGTAATATTAACAGGGTAAGGAGGTAAAATAATAACTTGCTGACATAATTATGGGAATTGGGATGTATGAAGGGGGGGTTGGGGGAAGTCAAGGACCAAAGTTAAGAAAGTAAGATTTTTGAAATTATACATGTTTTTTGTCTTTGTCTTTTACGTGTGTGTTATGTCTTTATAAAATGTGAAAAACCAATTAAAAAATTATAAAAAAAAAAAAAACAAAGTCTGGCAAAATGTTTGCAGTAAAAACCGCATGTTTTGCAGTGCCCCCCAAACGGAGTGGTTCCTAGCACATCAGGAGGAAGAGTCAAGACAACCAAAAGTGGATAAATAGGTTGTATTTATTAAATATAACAACTTGAGGATCGGCAAAACTAGTCAGATTCGACCAATGTAACCAAATCAAATTAAGTCTGGGCAGGTGTGCTTGTTCACCTCCACCCACAAACACACAAGTGCTCAAACAGAGCTCTTTGCAGATCCTTAAGAATCATGTCACAACCCAAATCAGAAAGATGCATACCACCAGGTCTATACAACTGTGGGGCACAGAACATAATTCTGCCATGAGGGATATAAGCAGCCACATTTTCAAACACAAACGTCGTTGTAGAATGATTAGCTTTATGTCTTGCCCATCCACCTTCTTAGGAAGGCTGCCCCCACTCCATAAGCACCTCTACAACATTCCAAACCAAACTATGATAAGCTCAGGGATGAGGAAGCACAGCTGATGGAGATATTTAGTGATCTCAACTGAATTTACCTCACCAGATTGTTATCCCCAAGATGGATGACCAGAATATCAGGGTTAGGGCAGGGGATAGGTGGATGTTCAGGGTTAGGGTTAGTGCCTGGGGTTTTTTTCATGCTTTTTAAGCTTCTAATGATATTGCTTCATTTTTATGAGACTGGATAATTCCAAAAAATAAGCAAACTACCTGAAACGTAGCAAAACTAAGAGAAATGTGAAAACCAAAAGTGAGATACCAGAAACCCAACAAGGAAGGAATTCATGAAAAAGGAAAATTGCCAGACAGAGACTTCAATCAAATCATATCCAAATTCACCAGAATCCCAAAACCAATTGAAAAGAAGCAGAAATGTGAGAAGCAGAAGAAATACCACCAGAAACCCCCAACAAGAGGGAAAAGGTAAATTGCGCAGAAACCCCAAAGCCAGTTAAACCTTAGTTTTGCATGGTGTGGGGGTGATTTCGCCTTTCCCTGAGATGTTTACTGCGTGGGTTTCTTGTGGTTCTATTCAATTGGTTTTCTCATCTTTGGTGGATGTGGTTTGTTTCTGTTGTTTCTGGTTTGTTTTGGGGATTATGTTGAATTTTTTCTGTGGTTTTCGTTTCATAGATTCTTTTATATAAATTACGATTGTGAAATATACTCAGAGTCTTGTATGTATTTCATGCTCTTTATTGCCCCCCCCCAACCTCAGGCTTTTATATACATTATTTACACAATGAGTCCCGTCTGACTGGCTAACTCTGCTTCCCTCTTGGAGCCTGATTGGCCTGCAGGAAAAGACCAATCAGTTGTTGCATTCTAGGGTCCAAGGTTAATACATAACAGATTGGGTGCTGGATTTATGGTGAGTTTGCTTCATTTCTAGGTTTTTTGGGTTTTGAACCTTTGAGAATATTAATTTGTATGAGATCTGATAATCCCAAGAAAAAAAGGAAAACCACCAGAAATGAAGCAAAACCACCAGAAATGTCTAATGACCATTCCAACAATGAAGTCAACCACTAAAAACACAAAAACCTACTGAAAAGAAGCAGAAGAACCATGTAAAAGCAACATCAATGGAAACTGACAAAGAAGCCAACCAATCCCAAACAAAGCAGATTCACCAGAAACCCCCAAAGCATTCAAAAGTATTACCACCAGAATGCAAAAACAAGAAAACTTCTCAAAAGAAGCAATAAGGCAAAAGTCCAAAAACAAGCTAAACCAATGGAAAAGAAATGAAGCCAGCTGCAAACGAAGCACATTCACCAGAAACCCAAGACTATGTGAAAACTAGTATGCTATGTTGGTTAATTTCTGTTGCTTGAAGTGCTTTTGGACTCCCATAAATTGCATGCTTGTTGAGTTTCTGGTTTTGCTTTTTAAAAACTGGTTTCCAGTTTCTTGTGGCATTGCTTTGTAATTGGTGGCTTTACTGCTTCTTTTTTGTTTTCTGCTGATTTGTTTAATTTGGGGTGGTTTTGCTTGTTTTTTTGCATTTAATTGTTTTGCTTCTTTTACTTTGAATGGTTCTGCGGTTTTGGGTGAGATTGTTTCTTTTCCATTGATTTGGCTTGGTTTTCATGTCTCCTGGTTTTGCCTCATTTTGGGAATATTTCTTGGTTTTTGTGCTTCTGGTGGTATTTCTTCAATTTTATGACATAACCAAGCCAAAACACCAGAAACACAGAAACAAATCATAAAGAAGCAGAGCTACCAGAAATCCAAAGCAAATTAATCAGAAATCCAAACAACCTATGAAGATGATGCAATACCAAAAGAAACACAAAAGCCAATTAAAAAACTGCTAAATGAAGCAACACCACAAGAAACAAAGAAAGCCTCATAACCTACGAAATGAAGCAATAACACAAAACACCACAAAAAGAAGCAAAGCGTTTAGGATTAGGTTTGGGTAAAGGTTAGGGTTACAGTGAGAGTTGGGTTTGAGTTGGATTAGGATTAGGAGTTAGAGTTGGGGTTGAGTTACGGTAAGAGAAGAACAGCAGCAGAAGAAATATAATTTTATTACTTAGGGTTAGGGTTAAATTAGGTTTAGGTTTAGACTGAGGCTTAGGTTTGGGTTAAGGTTAGGGTTAGAGTGAGGATTAGGTTTGAGTTAGGGTGAGCATTAGGATTAAGGTTTGGTATTGGGTTGGATTTGAGTTAGGCTAAGAGAACAGCAGCAGGAGCAATATAATTTTATTATTTATACTCCACCCAAGTCACTTGTGACCGCTTTCAATAAAAGGTAAAAACATGAGCGCACTCTAAGTGAATGCTCATGAATATGGAAACTCTTACTTCCCATAGAATTCCCAAAGAAGACCTGGGAATTGTAGCTCTGAGCTTCTTTGCAGAGGGTTGGACTAGATGACCCTTGGGTTCCCCTTCCATCTCTACTAGGATGCTCCCTGTCTCACTCTCACTCACTCACTCACTCACACACTCCTCCTCTCCTTTTCATGGCAGTTTCACCTTTTTCTGCACTCCTAGCTCGGAAGGGCGGAAGAGGCTGTGCTGCCGCCATGTTGCGCGAGGGCAGGGGTACCGGAAGGAGGTGCCACCGGAGGAGAGGCAAGAGGACAGGAAGGGGTGGGGGAAGGGCGGAAGAGGCTGTGCTGCCGCCATGTTGGGCGAGGGCAGGGGGTACCGGAAGGAGGTGCCACCGGAGGAGAGGCGAGAGGACAGGAAGGGGTGGGGGAAGGGCGGAAGAGGCTGTGCTGCCGCCATGTTGGGCGAGGGCAGGGGTACCGGAAGGAGGTGCCACCGGAGGAGAGGCGAGAGGACAGGAAGGGGAGGGAAATGGGCGGAAGAGGCTGTGCTGCCGCCATGTTGGGCGAGGGCAGGGGTACCGGAAGGAGGTGCCACCGGAGGAGAGGCGAGAGGACAGGAAGGGGTGGGGGAAGGGCGGAAGAGGCTGTGCTGCCGCCATGTTGCGCGAGGGCAGGGGTACCGGAAGGACGTGCCACCGGAGGAGAGGCATGAGCACAGGAAGGGGAGGGAAATGGGCGGAAGAGGCGCTGCGACGTTGGGCCAGCAGAGACGTGCCGAGCGAGGCTGGCCCTCTCTCTTTCTCCCACCCACTCTCTCTGTCGACCCCGCTCTCCCAGGGTGCAGCCCTGCCCCCCGCCTCGTCCTCACCTGCCTTTCTCCCCCAGTGGCCTTCCTCTCGTGCCCCTTTGCGGTAGGATGGTGCGGGTGGGCCGCGGAAGTTTATATACAAGAATATACATACCTAGATATAGGTGTCCGTTTGTAAATATATAAAAATAAAATGGATATATGTATATGTGTGTGTGTATCTATGCAGTACTTCTTTTCTTAAAAAAGTGACTGGGGATACTCTCATTTTGACTCAAGAAAACCACCATTTTATAGTTCAAACCGGGAAAAATAAATACAGTAAATGGACAAAAGTACATTCACAAAATGTTTTAGGAGTATCCATTCCCCTGCGTCCCCCCCAGAAAAAAAGCGCTGTATATGTTCTGCCAAGGGCAGGGTTATTTCTGGATCTGGAGCCAATAAGCACGCCAGTGGATGAAGAATAAGCAATGCTTTATTTGCATAAGGTTAACAGATAGCAGCAGGCATACAAAACACAAATTATAGCATACCAGAGAGGAGTCGCACACAATCTCCCCTTCAGCTGCCCGGAGCTCCAGGTAGAGCAGCGAGAGAGACCCCTTGGCCGACAGTCTCACAGCATCTGGTACCTCCATTTGTGAAGAAACTCACTGAGCCCCTTCAGCCTACAGCTTTTATAGACAACTTTGATTTGATTGATTGCACCTGGTTAGCAGGCATCACTCATATCAGCCTGGGACACCAGGTGCAACTAATGCAGAGCAACTGAGAGTCTCCAACCCAATTCACTGCAACTGGGTATCCTCCCCACTAGCCAATCAGCACTTAGAACACAGGGGACCCAGAAAACTCCTGACACAGGTGTGTGAAAAACAAATTATACTATCATGTTTTAGCAAACCTTAAACCGCGGATGTAAAAGCGAAAGAGACATGTCATCTAACTCCTTGAATTTACAGTGGTCTTCCGTGTTTCCCCTACAGTGTGTGTGTGTGTGTGTGTGTGTGTATTATATATCTATAAAATTGATACATGTGTGTGTGCGCGCACGCACACGCGCATGCATATACAGTCAAACCTCAGTTCCCAGACGGCTCCGTTTTGGAATGTTTCGGCTCCAGAATGCTGAAAACCTGGAAGTAAATGCTCCAGTTTTTGGAAGTCAAACATCCAACGCAGCTTCTGCTTGAGTGCAAGAAGCTCTTGCAGCCAATTGGAAGCCATGCTTTGGTTGTCTAATGTTTTGGAAGCCGAACAGGCTTCCGGAATTGATTATGTTCGACAACCAAGGTTTGAGTCTGTGTGATTATGTTCGACAACCAAGGTTTGACTCCTATTGCCTTGGTCTCCCCCTGCTTTCTCCAAGAAGTCCATGGTTCGCCCCGCCCATTGTTCCTTGCAACAACCCTGTGAGGTAGGTTCAGAGGATAACACAGGTTGAAAGGATCCCTTGGTGATGGGTTTATATATATATATATATATATATATAATTTTTTATTCGTTTTAAACACATTTATATTGTCATACATTTTACAAATTTCCAACTCTTATACAATCTTTTGGACTTCCGTTAGCTCCTCTGATGATCTCCCGTCTTTAAGATTTCTCCTGCATTTCTTAAATTTATATTACCTTTAACCTCATAACCGATATCATCCCTTTCATTCAATAAGGCAATAATTCAAATTATTCCGCTTACAAAACTTCCTGCAAACCTACAAATGTAATCGAGTCATCACAATTACTTTTCATATAGTCCGTAAATTTACGCCAATCTTCTGTAAATCTCTGGTCCCGCCGGTTTCGGATTCTTCCCGTTAATTTGTCCAGTTCTGCATAGTCCATCAGTTTCATCCTCCACTCTTCTTTCGCCGGTAATTCTTCTTGCTTCCATTTTTGTGCCAATAAAATTCGTGCTGCCGTCATTGCATACAAAAACAACTTACAATCACTTCTATTTATATCAGTTCCTACAATGCCTAATAAAAATGCTTCAGGTTTTTTGATACCTGATGAAAGCCAAATCTGGGTCAGAGGAAGGAAATATCAGTGCTGAAAGATGGGTGAGACAACAGAG